GGTTTTGCTGAACTGCATCACCTAGCCCCGAACTATGCCAATCCTAGAATACGGTAACGCCTTGCAGAATTATATTTGAAAACAACTGTAACTGCGTTACCGGTGTTTTGCAATTTTTTCTTGAAAAAACTAATTTTGCTGTGGTTCCTCTAATTTTGAAATTCGATTTTCCTTTTTTTTGGAAAATACTTGTTTTGCATTACTTTTATCAAACATTTGTTGTAAACTGTGAAATGTTTGATGTTGTCGCTATAAATTTTGAAATGAAATGTGTGTTTTTGTAAACAAAAGATTTTCACAGCTAACTATTCACTGAAACATATATTTCAAACTTTTTTGAAAGAAAGAAATTCGAATTTCCTGAGGGTGTGTTGGAGAGCACTGTAGCGGATATCAAGTCTTGGTGCCTTCGTACCTTTACGGTTCCCGTTGGGTTTAAAAATGTTAAAACTTCCACCAAAACAGCCCTACCCAGGTCCAGCGATCACATTTCCAGCTGAAAGGGATGTTTTGGAATTGATCTGTCCGATTAAAAAGATCGGTGTCCAAATTTTACTTCTGTAACCATGCAGTTCTTGGTAAATTCCTGTCTCCAGCCACTCTTATTTGATCTTCCTCATTTTAAAGCTATTCTTCTAGGAACTTGTTACAGATACCAGAATTTATTATGCGTTTTTGCATAATATGCAAAAACACATATTGTGACGACCCCGGTGTGTGTTTGTGTGTGTGTGTGTGTGTATGTGTGTGTGTGTTTATGTGTGTGTGTGCGCGCGCGTCTGTCTGGGTATTTCAACTCGACACCCAAGCAAGTTCCGGCGCCAAAATTTTGCGAGTGGGTTCCCCGGTCAAGTGCCACCCCAGAACCGCGGCACCAGCCCTCAAGCACGTCTAGGCCCCGCGTACGAGCGCCTCAAAGTTTTGGCAGGGAAATCGCTAACTCGAGGACCAGAAAAGCTAGGAAGCTGAAATTTTGGGGTTATGTTCCCAGTTCAATTAGAACTCAAAGATTTCAAATTCAGCCCCCGGGGATTCGTAGTTCCCGCGTACGGCCCCGTGAGGGTTCCTGGCGCGAAAATCGCTAGCTCGAGAACCATAAAAGCTGGGAGGCTGAAACTTCCAGGAAATGTTCCCAATTCATCTACAACTTAAATTTATCAAATTCAGCCCCCCGTCATGCGTGGTTGCCCGTGAAAATTTTCGGCGGGGAAATGGCTAACTCCAGAACCAGGGAAGCTGGGAGGCTGAAACTTTCAGGAAATGTTTCCAACTCATCTACAACTTAGATTTATCAGATTTAGCCTCCCGTTATGGGTAGTTGCCACGTGCGGCCCCGTGAGATTTTCTGGCTGGAACTTGCGTAACTCGAGAACTGAGAAAGCTGGGAACCTGGGATTTCGAGGGAATGTTCCCTGTCCAAGTATAGCGTGTATAATTAACTTTCCGAAATTCGAGGACCAGTATGTACAAGAGGTTTCTAGCTAGCAGAATTTCGAGTGATCTTAATGCAGCACGAACACTGCAAAAACGCATGATCGCACGGAACCGCCCAGTGCGCGACGCCAGTGATTGCTGTGCAGCGCTATAGCGCTACTACAGCCAGCAAAGACGCATATTGTCGAGAGGCTGTGTGTGTGTGTGTGTGTTCAGAAACGAGTGCATTTTGTCACCCACTTTCATCTCAGCAACCAGGAAAGGTGGGAGGCTGAAGCCTTGGATATGTTTCTACCCCGTGTGTCATCCTCCCGTTTCAAGATGTTCCCCCATACGCACCTAGACCCCGCGTACGGGTCCCCAAAAAAAATATTTTGGCGGGAATCGATTTCGCGAACCAGTCAAGGTAGAAAGCTGAAACTTTGCAGGGGTATTATTCACGCACGTGCGAGCTAAGGATTTTAAAACCATCTGTCGAGCACCCCAACCGCAGCCTCAAGCAGCTCCGCAACCCAAAAGTCGTTAAGAAATCCACTGCAACCGGGACCCGAACCTCAGCCATATATGTGAACGAACATTAGTTAATTTGCACACATAGATTTTTTGATAAACGACAGCTTGAGCGTTACTTCCACTTTTTTTTGAACTGGAAATTTGCATTTTTCAAAAAATTTGCATTTGTCATTTTTTTACAAAGCGAGCATTTACCGAAAAAACAACCGGATTTCATGCAAAAGACCGGTAATCATGCACCTGGGTGTCCGTGCAACTTTACAATGCACTACCTCCATCCCAACCGACTTCTTCTTCCTGCATGCCGGAAAGAATCAAAGCACGGCCAATATGAGCCCAAGTGTTAGGCTACGGCGTAGGGATCATTCCTGCTAATAGCGATCTATGAGCTTAGTGCAAAAATGCATGGTCACACCGGAGAGCCTGGTGCGTTCCAGCCTGGATTTTCATACTAGCGCAAATTAAATTTAGCAGTTTAGGCCTTCATTTTGCCGTTTTCTTAAAGCTTATAAACTAGTCAACTGGAGCCTCAAATTAAGCGAACTACAACAGACAGTCATATCCTGTTTAACAGTAATAATAGTCGATTGTGCGCATTCTGTTCTGTTTTTGCATCTTTTTTATAAAGAAAACGAACAGTCCTTTTTCATCTTGCTTCATCACTTTCTAAGTCTCCAACCTGTCTTTTCTGTCTGGCCTTGCTGTTAACCAAATGAACTTATTTCCTACATGGCGGGATGGAATGCTGTATTGATAATTTTCACTGCTACCAGCACTCACGTATGTGTCTATGTTTTCAGCTAAGGGATGAAACATATACTTCACATGTATTCGACATTTTTATGCGTTTTGTGCTGTGTAACAGCAGTACAAAACGCATATTGTCATAGAGTTGTCTGTGTGTGTATGTGTATGTTTGTGTGTGTGTGTGTGTGTGTGTGTGTGTGTCCGCAGCAACTTGCCCGCAACTTTCAACTTTGGAACCACAAAAGCTAGGAAGCTGAAAATTTAGGGTAACATTCCCCACCCACGTGTGACCCTGCAAATTTAAATTCAGCCTCCCCGTAGCCGTGGGTAACACATACAGCCCCGTAAAAGTTTGGGCAGGGAAAATTATCATGGAAATCACGGAAGCTAGAGGGCTGAAATTTTGTGGACATGTCCCCTGCCCACAC